AGGCAAATGTTAAACAGTTTTGATTCGATATATGATTAAACTTGTCTAATAGTTCACATATTAGATCACAGATTACTCCCCAACTCGATGTCAACCCGCATCGAATTCTAACTAGTCACATAGCATTTTTTTCCGACTTGACCATCGGAAAATCATCGGGAGGACAACTCATTGTCTTCTCAAAGTATCTTGACCGCTATTGTGCTGCAGGTTGAGTTCATTCTCAAGTGGTTGATCGGTTCTAGTAGGCAAGCCTCGTTGAAGTTGACTCGCTGTTACGTCAGACAAACCGAAAACCTACTCTGAGAGCACATATATTTTTCGGATCGCCTACAATACGCAATCTTATTATATCAAGTTTTATAGAAATCAAACAATGTAGCTTCTTACACTCGTTTCCTATGAAACCACAATGCTACTATAAACAAAGATATTGATCATCTGCAAGGATTTAATTATACATAAATCATATCAAACTCGCCAACAACAGTCTCAAAGTCTCAGAACCTGAGAGAACAAAACAACAACAGACAAGGCATCGTACAGATTGAAAGGAAAGAACAAAACAAAGGAAAGAACTAAAGGAACCTGTAACCGTAAAGACTTATATAAAGAGCAGAAATTGTAGACATGTCTGCTTTGAAGACTACTAGAAACCGAGTGTATTGTTTCATATGAGAAAATCTGTGTTTTTGTGTTCTCAGATGAAAGAGAGACATTCATCAAGTTATCCAATTTTCACAGGTAATTGAGAGAGAACACCAAGAATCCTTAGCTGTGATAACATTTCTGAAAAGCTTCTGAGTTTATACGCAACTTTGTTTCTGCGATTGAATAGAACGAAACTAGAGTGTCAGTAAACTCATCGAGAAGACAAAGACATGTGATTATTCAGACGACAATGCAGAACTAAGCGTAATTCTCTTTTCATGCACAGCTCACTTAACATGAAATTCAATGAAATGTTTCATGTGGTTCGGTTTTTCAAATCCATCAACTTTAAATCATATGTAGACTGATGAAGCTCATAAAACAGAGAGACTATATGCATCCAAAATATTTACCTGAGCTTATCTACTGGATCCAGTCATCGCATCAAACAGGCCACAACAACTTAACCACGAGGTTCTTTGCGCAATTCCATGTGTTGGTCGCACGGGAGCCTGAAAGAAAACAGAGTTTAGTCCTTTTCGGTAGCATAAGCGACAAAAAAAGAAGAAGATGAAGCACATGTGTTAACAATATATACCTCTTCTTCATGAGAAATGACAACTTCAGACTCTTTGCTGCCTTCAGTAACACCGTTAGATTCTGGAAGAGTCGGTGTTTTTCCCTCGTTTTCTTTCACATCAGAGTCAGCTGCAAGAGAAACTTCCGGGGAAATCTCATTTGGTTTAGGCAAAGAACTCTCATCAGTCTCGTTTGAGATTATATGATCAACGTGAGCGATCTCAACAAATTCTCCAGAGTTTGGATCACTAGGTGTGGATGAATCCATCAAACCGGTACTCTCTACAATCACATTAGCAGTATCTCCCATAAACGGCGCATCTCCAGCTACTGGAACAGGTTGATCTGGCACAGAACTCATAGTAATAACTTCAGAAACCATATCACCACCAGTCTTCTCCTTATCATCATCTTTCTTCTTGACTTCCCGAGATTCATCATCCGA